TAGCTGCTGGTGGGTCTGCCTGCCTCAAGTGTCTCCCCACTCTAGTTCATCCTCCATTCAGTCACTAAAGTGATTTTCCTGAAGTGTGGGTCCTACCATGTCACTCTCCCTACTCCCTGTCACCTCCAGGATCAAATACAAAATGCTCTTCAAAGCTCTTCATAAACTAGACCCTTCCTACCTTTCCAGTCTTCTTACATCTTACTCCCCAACACATTCTCTTCTCTCCAGTGACACTGGCCTCCTGGCTGTTCCATGAACAAGATGCCATATTTCTGCTCTAGGCATTTTCTCTGCCTGTCCCCTATGCCTGGAATGCTCTCCCTCCTACGCTCAGACTACTGACCACCTGGGCTTCCATCTTTTACAAGAAGCCTTTCCTAACCCCTCTTAAATTTAGTGCCTTCTTCCTGTTATTTTCCATTTATTCTATATATAGCTTGCTTTGTATATATTTATTTATATGTCTCTCTTGTTAGATTGTAAGCGCCTTGAGGGCAAGGACTGTCTTTTTCCTCTTTTTTTGTATCCTCAATGATTAGCATAGTGCCTGACACATAGTAGGCTCTTTAATAAATGTGTGAAGGGGAAGAGATGTGAGAAAATTCTGAAAGGAGAATTTGGAGCTAGATTGTGGAGGTCTTTAAATGACAAACAGAATTATTTTTATTTTATCCTAGAGGTAATAATAAGGAACCCTTGAAGTTTCTTCAGCAGGAGAGTGATGTGGTCAGATCTCTGCTTTAGGAAAATCTGTCTGGTGTTTTGTGACAGAAAGATGAGGGAGAGAGAAACTGAAGGCAAGCAGACCAGTTAGGAGACTATTGCAATAGTCCATTCAAGAGATGATAATAACCTGAACCATGACTGTAACTGTGACTATGTGGGTGGAGAAAAGGGGCAGATGGTAGAGATGTTCTGAAAGAATAAATGAATGAAAAGCATTTTTTAGCACTTAGCCTGTGTGCAGGTACTATATAAAATGCTGTAGAGAAAGAATTGACAAGACTTGGTAGCTTCCTCTATATGACAGGTACAGAAACATGGAAGAGTTGAGTCTGATTCTGAGGTTTCAAGCCTGAAGTGACTGGAAGGATGGTGGGCTTTTCAAAGAACCACGGAAGGAAGAAGGGGGTGTGGATTTAGGGGAAATGATAATGAGTTTGGTTTTGGATGTGTTGAGTTTGAGATGCTGATGGGTCATACAGGTGGAGATGATCAGCAGGCAATTAGTGATGTGGTACAGGAGGTTAGGAGAGAGATAAGGGCTGCATATGTAAATATGGGGAGTCACATGCAAGGACTTTGGGGGGGATTAGAGAGATTCTGTCATAGCAGGAACACTTTCCATTGAACCAAGAGCTTCTGTACACAAATGGTTCTTGTGTTTTGCTTTCTGTTAAATCTCCCTGCTGCCTCTTATTTTCTGGCCAAAGTCTGGAAGCAGAAGGGGTGGGGGGTTGAAATGTGACAAGAGAAACCATTCTTAAGCATCTTGTTCCATCTGGCCACAAAGAAGGGAGTGGGGGTGGGAGACCAGGAATCTTGGCTTGGAAATACTGTCTCTTCTGAAGCCCTGGTCATTGCTGTGGATTCCTGAGGTTCCCAAGCAGGGTTTAACATCCAGCTTCTCATCCAGTCTCCCCAGAGGAGAATCCATGGCCCTCCTTTTATGGCCTAACTGTAGTGTGAATGGGTTGGTGAGAATATACATTTGCTATATCAGTCATTTTTGTGTGCTTTTGCATTAAGGGGACATTTTAGATTCTGAGGAGTTAGAAGTGCTATCTGTATTGTATTTCCTTTTCTCTCCCATGTTAGGAAGTTATCTAGTGATAACCAATTAATCCACAAGCAGTTTTAAGTGCCTGCTATGTGCTGGATACTTTGCCAAGAACTAGGGATACAAAGTCCCCACCATCAAGGAACTTATCAGGGACAAAACATATATACAAATCAGCATATACAAAATAAATATAAAGTAAATTTTTAACGAAGAGGGCACTGTTAATTGGAGGGGTGAGGAAAGGCCTCATTTATGTATAGCAGCCTTTCTGGGCTCACTCACTTTTTCAAATGCCACTGGACTAACTGGCTAAGTCCCCTAGAAGGCAATGACTGCTGTTCTCAGGGTTTCAGGGGTAACCATGATGGGTAAGGGTTTCTTTTACTGTCATCCACAAGCCCTGATAATGTGCGCTCCACAATATTGACCGACCAGCTGACAAGTTAGCTTTTACAGAAAGGATCTTCACTGAGAGCATTTAGTGAGGATAGAAGTCACAAAACGCTTCCCAAACCAAAGGTTCCCTCTCCCCTCTGCACATGTCCAGTAGCTGGGGAGAGTGGGCTCAAAGATGAGGAGGCACACGCGTAGAGAACACTTGGGACAAGGGGCACCTTTTATCAAGTTTGCTTTGAGGCGAGTTCAGCACTGGACAACTTGCTCCCCTTGCTCAGCTGGGCTGTCTCTTTGCAGTGTCTTAGCTGATAAGTCAGTCCACAGCTGGGCAGGGTCAAGACCGTTGCTTGGCTACAGACCTGGTCCCTCACTGGACTTGGCTGCTGTTGCTGCTGCCAACAGCTCTGGTTACTAGTTGGACCTCTGATGTCTTGGAAGGAGTGGGGAACCTGTGGCCTAGAGGCCACATGTGGCCCACTAGGTCCTCAAGTGTGGCCTTTTGGCTGAATCCAAACTTCACGGAACACATCCCCTTAATAAAAGGATTTGTTCTGTAAGACTTGAACTCAGTCAGGAGGCTGTACCCAAGGACCTAGAAGGCCACAGGTGGCCTCAGGGCTGCAGGTTCCTCACCACTGTATGGATCTCCTGGTCTCACCTTTCACCTGGACACTCCCTTTTCAGAATACCTAAAATCAAGAAAGAATAAACCCTAAGGAAACAGACACTCTTGTGTTCACAGACACATGGTGGCTGGGTGGGAGATGGAGTAACCACTGTTCCTCTCCAAATCCAGCAGTTCACAACAGTTCTTGCCTCACTAGATGCCAGAAGAAAAAGCCCAAAAATGAACTGAGAGATGGGCATATGATCCTTTTGTATGCACATTCAATTCCAGCTCCATGCTAGAATACTCAGGTAGTCAAATATGGATGGAGTAAAGGGAAAGAGCATCTTTGGGGGACAAAACCCTTGTTATCTTCATGGCCCAAGAGAGAGGTCACCTAGAGGGGCTCACGAAGGTTAACCTAGACTTGGGAAAATCTAATTAAACATTAGGTTAGAAAGTTTAAATACCATCTAGTATGGGAATGGGTAAAATAATAGGAATTAGAGCTGAAAAGGACCTTAGGGAACATCTAGTCCAACTTTCTACACTTTTCTGATGTGGAAAATGAGGCCCAGAGAGATACATAGTAGGCACTTAAATGTTTATTGAATTGAATTCAATGACTCATGACTACTGAAATAGGTGGATGCCATATTGGATGAAGTGCTAGACATGAAGTCAGGGAGACTTGAGTTGAAATCCTGCTTCAGACACCTGCTACCTTTTTGAGCCTCAATTTCCTCATCTGTAAAATGACAATAATAATAACACCCACTTCAGAGTATGAGATACTGTATGAGAATAATGGTATGTAAATAACTTTGCCAACTTTAAAGTGCAACATATGTGTTAACTATTATTTTTAATGCACGTTACACTGACAGTAACTAGCACAGCTTGGATTCTAGTTCAGATGCTCTGATTCCCAATTCTCTGTTTTTTCCTATGTACCACATTGCATCTGGAGTAGCCTTTTTTTATGTGCGGTTAAGTCCTTACCTTGGTTGATTGTTTCTGACTGTGTCATTCATTTCTTCCTGTATTTAATCTACTTCCCAAGTGAAAGAAAATCTTGTTCCTTTTCCTTTAATGGTTTTGTCCCCCTCTCTTTTCTCTTTGACTTTCATAGAAAGTACAAATTACTCTGCTTTCTGCATGTCTCCTCCTGGCTTTGGAGAGCCTCAGCCACATCACACAGCAGCCATCCCTGGGAGTGTAGAGTTAACAGCCGATACTCCTCTGTTTCGCTCCTCATTTTTCAGGCCCTTTGTGTCTGACAGGATCCTTGAAGGGAGCTACGGTCTATCTGGGTACAGTCTAAGGGCATTTTTCAGCCAGAAAAGTCCAGAGAAGGCAACTTGTGCTTTTCAAGCCCTTTAGAAGTATCCTTAAAGGAATGTTGCCACTCCTTTCCAAACCCTTTTGAAATGAAATCTTAGAACTATCCTGATATGAGATAAGCCCCATCATGTTCTTTTTAGGTTTTGACTTATTTCTCCCACTGTTGAAAAGCTGATACAAGAATTTAGTTCCATTTAACAGACATCTCCTGTTTCCTATGTGGTGATGCTCTCAGGTTTTTCTTACTAGGCTCACTTTCTCTTGTATCAGAGTTATTTGGCTACCATAAAGGAAGGGAAAGGGAAAAAGCATTTATATAGTGCCTACTATATGCCAGGTACTGTGCTAAGCACTTTACAAATATGATCTCATTGGATCCTCACAACAACCCTTTGAGGTTAGGTGCTATTATTATTACCCCCATTTTACAGATGATGAAACTGAGGCAAACAGGTGAAGTGACTTTTCTAGCTAGTAAACGTCTGAAGCCACATTTGAACTCGGGTCTTCCTGACTTCAGGCCCAGGGCTCTATCCACTGTGTCACCTAACTTCCTCTTTTTCTTTTTCTGATTATGTTGTAAATTTTGGAGCTGACCTGTGTTGTGTATCTCTTTTTGTCCCTGGGAGCTAACATAGTACATTGCTTATAGATATTGTTTAATGGATGTTTGCTGATTAAATGAATAAATGAAAAATGCCTAATAACATAATACTTTTCCTTGTAATTTTGAACACGCATGGTATTTTCCAGAGGGGAACCTACTTTGAGTATTTTCTGAAAGTGTTTAAGATCAGTAAATGATTTTGCTGGGAAAATGGTATTCCTAGTCCTAACAAAGCCTGGTTCTGCTTTTGCCATCTGCAGGTACCTCTTTGCTCCTGGCTTCACAGAAATCCAGTATACACCAAGTGGAAATCGTCAAGTCACGCCATTGAAAGGGGAGGTGAGTGCTCTCTCTCACCCCACACATCTAATAAGTTGCCAGATCTATTCATTCTTCCTCCACAACATGTCTCACGTCAAACACCTTCTCACTCATCAAATGGCCATCACCTTGATTCAGATCTTCATCAGCTCTCCTCTATCCTATTTGCCTCAAATCTCTCTCCTCTCCAATTCATTCTCTAATCGATCAGTAACTGCCAAAGTGTCCTCTGACCATATCATTCCCCTACTCAGTAAACTCCAGTGCCTTCCTGTTGTCTCTCGGGACAAAGGCAAATACCTCTGTTTGATATTTAAAGCCCTTCATAACTTGGCCCCTTCCTACCTTCTATCCTACATAGACACGTTGCCCTTCGCACACTCTGTGGTCCAGCCAGACTGTCTGCTATCCTGTTCCTCACACATGATGCTCCAGTTTTTACCTTCATGCTTCCCTCTGTTCGAGCATTCCAGAGTTCTATTCCATTCTGAAATTAACTCCTTCCTCACCTCTGCCTCTTAGAATTCCTGGTTCCTTCCTTCCTACCTGTTGGTGCCCTCATTCTCCTGCCACTTTTGATTTATTTTGTATGTGATCTGCCTGTACTTAATGTGTGTGTATATGTCATATGTGTTATATATATACACATATGTGTATGTGTACACACACACACACACACATAAAAACACACATGTATTCTTGAGGGCAGGGACTATTTCATCTTTGTGTTTGTATCCCCAACACCTAGCACAGTCAGTACGGGGTATATAGTAGGTGCTCAATAAATGCTTGTTGATTGATTGAATGCCCCACAGCTAATGAGGGTCAGAGTAGGATTCCGACCTGTGTTTTCTGACTCTAAGTCACAGATTTAGAGTGAGAAGGGACCTTAAGGGCTATCTCACCTAATACCCTCATTTTTTACAGAGAACTATGGCACAGATGTAAAGTAATTTCTCCCAAGTCATACAAGTTGTAAGTGATAGAGTCAGGTTTGAACCCAGGCCCTGCAGCTCCTAAGGCAGCACTCTTCCCTCTATATGCTCCTGCTTCTAATAAGTCATGTGGCTTTGCCAGTGACTGGGGCTCAAGCTACATGGAGATCTGGGTAGAGTGGTCTATATGTTGTGATTTGGGGGTCATCAGGAGAGCTCTTATCTGCCTTAGCTGCTTACAGCCTGAAATTCCCCCACTGCTTATTCCTTAAAGTACTGAAAATATTATTAAGATAAAAATGGTATCTGGGAAGGGTGAAACATTAAGTCATATTAAGGACAAGAACACTGTGGTCAGGAGGCCCTTAGTAAATGTTGAATGAAGGAAAAAAGTCATTATCAACTTTTTAGTTTGGAATAGTTTCTCATATTAGTTCTGGTACAACAGCCTTCCAGACAGGATTGGTAAGTTTGGGTAGAAGTAAAAAGAGGTCTAGAGCTGGGTCAGTGCAGGCCTCCTGATTCCCAGGAAGAAAAGAATTTAGAAAGGGGAGTGGAGGGACTTACTGAAGGTAAACTCTGCCCTTTCTACAATTTTGCTGAGAGCTAGTCCTGATGGTGAGAATCTTCTTTTAAGAGGGCATAGGCAAGAATGATACAATCTGTGGTGTTACTCAGCTTCCCAGGAGGCTGTCCAGCTGTGACTAGAGTTCTAGGAATCTGCTCCTTCCTCTTGCCCTTCTGATGGAACCTTTCACTTGAGGGTGAGCTCTGTTCTCAGCCTTTTGGGGAGGTCATGGGCCAGGCCAGATGGCTTCCATTCATTCACAAAGACTTCATGAATTTGTCTTCCTCTCTGCTGCCAGCCTCATGCTTTTGCCACTGCTGCTCCACATGGATTAGAATGGGTCACAGTCTTAGAAACACAGATTGGCGAAAGTTGGTGAGCTCATCCTTCCTGGTGTAGTTGACTCCCCCAGGGATGAGGAGCAGGGATGGAATTCTGTGACTTCATAGATGCTAATGATTTGCTTGTTCTCTGTGCCCTTGGCATCTGCATTTGTGGGAGATGTCATGCAATTCCTTTGGAGACACAGACATCCCTCTTTTGCCCCACCCCAACTACCCAATAACCTTCTTTTGAGTCTTTGTTCAAGAGTGCTATTGAATAATACACAGTTGAGTGATGGGACTGGATTCATGAGATAGTAGGGAGCCCACAAAGATATACACATTTCCTGAGTTAGTGATACAGAAGGTGCAATGTTGACCATCCTTTCCTCCAAACCCTATTGTTTAGGGTTCGTTATAGATTCTTTCCCCTGTTCCTGTCACAGTGGGTTCTCAAATTAATTCTGGTTTGGGTTTCTTTTTTTTTTTTGAGAACCAAAGGGTAAAATGAATCTGGAATAATCTGTTTTTATCTTTGACTCCAACCTTAAGGATCAGAGAATTTCTGAAATAGAAGGAACTTCAGAGGTCATATTAAAAATTCATATCTGGGGCAGTTAGGTGGCGCAGTGAATAGAGCTCTGGCCTTGGAGTCAGGAGGACCTGAGTTCAAATCCAGCCTCAGACACTTAACACTTACTAACTGTGTGACCTTAACCCCATTGCCTAACCAAAAAACAAACAAACAAACAAACAAACAAACAAACTCATATCTGACTAATAATTCCTCTACATCTCTGACAAGTGTTCATCCAGATTCCATGTGAAAAATTCTACTGAGAGAGAACCCTTTGTCTCCTGAGTCTGGCAGCTATGATGACTTGTACATTTTTACATACATTGAGTTGAAATCTGCCTCTCTATAACTTTTACTCATTTAGCCTAGTTATATTCTCTAGGATAGTCACAATAACCTCAGTCCCTATGCATGATAGCTCTTTAGATAGCTCAAGATGGTTATCATGTTCTCCCACCTTCCCCAAGTCTCCTTTTTTCTAGGCTAAACCTGCATAATTCCTTCAGTTAATCTTTGTGTGGAATGTTTCTTTTGACCCCTCAACATTGAAGCCCTGCTCTTTGTGTGTGAAAGTGCCAATGTCTTCCTCTAGATTTTAAATCTAGAGATTCATACAGTACTTCACCTGTGCTGTGACAGGAGTGGAGTGCAGAAAGACTATTAACTCTCTCATCCTAGTCATCCTCTGAGTGTAGACCAGAATCACATTAAGTTTTTTTGGCTGACATAGGATCATAGAATTAGATCTTGGATGGACCTCATTTTTTGTTGGTGAGGTGCAGAGAGATGAAGCCTAGAGGGGGGAGACCAAGAAAAGGGAAAGGATTAGCCAAGGGCCGTGTCATGCTGTTGCCTTATTTTGAACTTGTAGTTTATTAAAATCGGATCTTTATCTTGTTTAACTAAGTGTCTTCCATTCTATGCTTATGCTGTTGATTTTTTTAACCCAAGTATAGAACTTCATATTTATCTTTACTAAATTCATCTCATTAGACTCCTTCCCTGCTGCCTAAAAACATGCCCATGTTTCCCCTGTCCTCAAGGAGCCTGCACTTGATCTTCCATTTTTGCTAGCTCTCATCCTATATCTCTTCTACCTTTTGTGGCTAAATTCCTTGAAAAGACCGTCTAAAGTAGGTGCTTCTACTTCTTCCCCTCTTCCTCTTTTCTTAACCTCTTACAATCTGGCTTCCAACATCATCATTCCACTGAAATTGCTCTCTTCAAGGTCACTGATGGTCTCTTAGTTGTCAAATCTAATGACTTTGTCTCCTTGACCTCCCTGCAGCCTTTGACACTGTTGATCATTCTTCACCTTGATATTCTATTTTCTCTAGATTCTTGGGACACTGCTACCTCCTGATTCTTCTCTTATCTATCAGACCATTCCTTTTCAGTCTTTTTTGCAGAGTTCTCATCCACATTGTACCCTCTAACCACAGGGTTCTGTCCCTGGATCTTCTCTTCTCCTTCAGTACTTCTGTCTTGGTGATCTCATCACCTCCCATGATTTTAATTATCATCTCTATGCTGATGATTCTTAAATCTACCTATTCTACCCTCACCTGTCTGCTTACTTCAAACCTCAAATCTCCTGCTGCCTTTCAGACATCTCAAACTAAACAATAAACATCTTAAATTCAGCATGTTCAAAACGGAACTCATTATCTTTAACCCCAAACCCTCCAAACATCCAAACTTCACTATTACTGTTGAGTACAATACCATTTTCTCGGTTCCTCAGGCTCACAACCTAAGCGTCACCCTTAGTTCCTCACTATCTCTCATTCCCCATATCTAAGCTGTTGGTAAGGACTACTGATTTCACCTTTCAATGTCTCTTGTATATACCTTCTTTTGTCCTCTGAATTGAATCAATGGGGGAGATGTGTGTGTGTGTGCGTGTGTGTGTGTGTGTGTGTGTGGTGGGAGCCAGAGAAACTATGTACACAAATAATTTGGATAGATAGAGAGTAAATTAAGGGCAAAAACATTGTGGTGGGTATTTCCCAAACACCACACCCAGATGCACAAGATGAATGCTGTAGCATCTAAGTTACCTGGCTAAAGAAACTTCATGAAGTTCAGAGCCAGATCTCTAGTTGGGGCCTGCTTCAGGAGGATATTGTATTGGCTCTAAATGACCTCTCTTACAGTCTTGCCTTGAAATAATTTCTCTTTCTTTCTTGGCTTGGCTGAAGGTCTTCTGGATTCGATGACCAAATCAGGATGATTGTCTCTACATGTTTACCTGGGAAGGGACATTAGGTCCTCTCTTGAGGGGCAGAGATGGAGTTGGAAATGGGAAGAGATGGACTACTCTTTTCTTCTAGTCTAGTGTCATTAGTAGGGAGAGCCTGAGGGATTGAGATTCAGTAGGTCAGTACAGTGAACAGAGAACCTTATCAGGGAAATGAGGTAGAACAAAGTTCAGGTGATATGCACACTGTGAGCAGGGAAACATCCCAAGAGGCTTCCACACTGCTGGGGATACTGGAAGTAGCTATCATGAAGCTGGTTAATTGCCTTGACATCTTCTTCCAGGGCTATTCTAGGCAAGATATTTAAGGAAAGCAGACAATGGGTATTCATTGCACAACTGGACATGATATTCT